CTGCGCTGCACATCCCTCCCCCAGCCCCGCCAAATAATCTCCCCTCCCTTTTATTATTATTTTTTTTGCTTTCCCCCAGCTATTTTTGCTGAGCAGCGTTTGGCCGAGGGGAGTATTTGCAAACATCACACTCCTCACGGAGCAGAAGGCAACAAGGGAAATTCGGACCTTTTCTCTTGTCCCGTGGGGTTAAAGAGGGACACTATTACGCAGAAGGAGTGGTAAAACAACCAACAGTCGTTGTACAGTCATGATGTAGATGCTTCACCTACTGACATTTTCAGAATCAGATTTACCCTTGCTTTGAGATGGCTTAAAATACATGGTGTTATTTTTGAAAAAAAAACACATCACCCCCTGTCTGTAGTAGACCTTGCTGCTGTGAATGGAAATAACATGCCTAAAGCCTGGCCTGAACTCAGCCAGAAAGGTGCAAGATCCAAATTTTACAACTAGTGTAAAACGTGGTGAGGATACTCTCATCTATTTAAGAACAGCATGGGGATAGCCAGATACACAAGGAATATCCTCAAAATTGTAAAAGCCATTGAAGTTCAGCCAGAGCTGGTAACAGTAGAAATATTTTGAAATTAATCCAGTACAGATAGTGTTGAGAATCATAGCCCCATTCATGATTGCAATACAGTCATAGACAGAGCAATTAGCTGTAGAATCACAAAGGATTATGACTTCAAGTGAGGAATACTTATTCCTCACTTACATGAGCAGATGGACTCTTAAAATACCTCATGTTCGCATGAATGGAAAAACAGGGAAGGAAGATTGGAAGAAATGGGCAATTGAAACAATACAGCCTTCAGAGGAAACAGTCTTAAAAGTATTTTACAGGACTTCTTTAGGTCTCATGCAGGTGCTTTTTCTTGAGGAGCCATCTCTGAGGTGTACCAGCTCAGCTCTTAGGTGGCAGTTTTAGCGTGGTTTAAGGAAGAGATTTTGCTCTGATTTCTTATGTCCAGCCCCAGCTGTAAAATAACAGAGGCAAGGTATGAAATCAGTGAGTATAAATCTCCAGTAAAAAGGCCATTTTGGCAAAATAGCTGTTATATGGAAAGAATAAATACAGAAGTAAAACGCTAAGGAGACAGCAGAGTCAACATTATTGTTTTGACACAGCGGGTTTAGCGATAAATAGGAAATGGGAGGGGGGTGAGCTGGGAACCTGGGTGGAATTTATGTGTGATGGCAGAGTGGGAACCTGTGAGAAGAAGAAATGAAAGCAAAACCTGAGAGAAGTGGAGATAGTGGAAAAAGCTGTCACACTTCTCAGCGTCTGGAAACCCCTGAGACAAGTTGTAATGTTACCTGTGCCTGTGCCACCTCCTGCATGTTTTGTTTTCAGGAGACATGTAATAATTGTAGGGTCACCATGAACTCATAGCTATCTTCAGAAATTTCTGCTGAAATTTTCACTTGACCTCTTCACGGCTTTGCAGATTCTTAATCTTCCACTGGTGAGAAACAGGAAAGTACTAACTAGACACTAATTTGCCCTGGAAAGTTTTAACTCCTTTTATTTTTAGCTCCTTTTATTTACCCAAACATGCGTGGTCTTTGCACTCAGAGCCATGGAAACTGGCTAGAACACCTTTGGGTATCTGACAGCACCTG